ACTTATTTTAAAAAAATCTTAAAACAATAAGTAAATGAAACACAATTATTTTAATGAAATTTAGTTGTTCTTTTTATTCAAATGTTCGTCTTTCAATTATCTTAACTATGTTCGATGCTTACAGTATTCTAAAGATAAAATATCTATAAACATATTACAAACAAGTTGTCAGGAATTATATTTCGCTTTCTCACTTAATTGCAAATTTACGATTTTAAAAGTAAAATTAATTATAAGTAGTAAATTATTATATACTCTCTTAATTAATAAAATGTAAAATGTTGATTGCTTTTGAGTCTTTAAATTAATTTATAATGTTTTTTGTCTTAAATTAATAAAAATAAAAAAATTTCTTATAAATTCTAGAAATAAAACTGTATATTTTTAAATAATTAAAAAAGTGAAAATTTGCGCTAACTTTAATATATATGTGTATATATATTAAATGATAAATATAAATGCTAGAAAATATTTAAATTAGATTATCTTAAACATTAGAAACACAGAAATGTGTGAAGTAAAAATTAGAAATTAAAAATTAAAAGCAGCTTTACGAGTTTGTTTTGCTTAAAACACAAAATTTATATTATTTTTAGAGAAAAAAAATTTATTTTTATAAATATAAATTATATTAATTAAATAGCTAAAATTTAATTGCTAAAATTATAATAATTATAAATTGCTTATTCAATGATCACAACTCTTATTCAATAATTATTAATTCATTTTTATTTTTAGTTTCATTTTATATAAATTCTTATATAGAAACAATTTATAAAATATAAAATTCAAAATATTTATAAATTTGTATATATATTTCATAATTTAATATTATCATATAAAAATATAGATAGATGTATATATAAATCGTTCGTGTAAATATTGTTTTGCATTTGTATAGATTGGCCAAAAATGATTTTTATGATTTTTATTTTAATAAATTTATAAAAATTGCTTGCTGTCGATAAATAATTAAATTTTTAACATTAAACGCTTTATAACTTTTTATAAATTTTTTATTGTGTATAATTTGTAAATATAGTTTTTATGTATAAAAAAATTTTATACATAACCTTTATATATATAATTTTAAAATGTTAACTTTTGTGCGTTTTGTTTTTAGTATTTTACAATTTTTTGTAGACTTCGCATTTTTTATTTTAAATATAAATTCTTGTATATAATTGCAATATAAAAAAAATTTTAAAATCAGTATAAAGTTAAATATCATTTTCTCTTTTCATATACAATTAATTTGATAATTATATTTCAATTGGTGGGAACAAAGGTAAATGCACCTAAAATGAAAAATAAAAAAATTTTATGTAAGTCAAAATTTTATAATATATAATTTTATAATATATATGAAAAATAAGAAATACATACTAATTGTAGTAATAATAATAATAATAAATTATTTTTTATAATATAAAAGAACATTCTTATATATAATATTTTTTCAGTCTCTAGTAGTAGTTTATTTTCATATATAATCGAAATATATGATCGATTTAATAGCAAATTTTTATTAGAAAGATGTTAAAGAATGTGTATTATATATAGTGATGATTAAGTTAAATAGAACAAAAGAAAATTTTTTAGAATTAGTTTTGAAAATAACATCATAGAACTGTATTATTGAATGATTACTTCGTCAACAAAAATATACGTCACGCACTTTCTAGCAATTATTGTACTCTCTACCTGTACTGTATACCATAGTTCTATAAATGCTATAGCCGTTCCTAGAATCAAAACTGTGAGTTATAGTTTCACTTAGTACTATCTTTAGTTGTGATCCACAATATATGCACTACAGATATGAATATAAGCTGTAGATTACTACGTTCGTGACTTTTTTATGTTATATGATATTAACTGGGTCACTAAAATAATACAGGACTACAGTCGCTAAAATTACTTGTGATAGTATACAATCAATGTAATGGAACAATTTAGTTAGAAAGTTAAGATAGAATACTAACAAGCTAATTTTATATTCATTATATACTTTATATTGCAATTAGTTATGTAGTATTAGCAATTAATGTCTGTGGGCAGTCATTAAAATTTTAATTTATTTTTTATAGCTGTAATCTTAGTTTATTGCAATCACAAAACTAATAAATTTCAATTTTAATTGAATTTTTAGGATAATGTACTAAAAGTTTGATTTTTTTGAAAAATATGCTTTTTCCGAAAAAAGGTATAAGTATTTAAAAAAATTTTAAGTATTTTTTTTAATTTTTCATACTGATCAAGTTAATTAATTTCATATTCTGAAGGAAACTGATAATTGTCTAATACAGAATGATAATATGAAACATAACCAGTTAATAAGATCCATAATTGAACAAAAGGCAACTGTTTACCTGTTTAATAAAGTCAATATAAGAAATTTCAGTTTAGCAAAAGGTTTAACACTTTTAACCCAACCATTGTCCTATCTAGAATATAGCAAATTAGATGAATCAAGTAAATCGTGACTAGAAGTCTTATCCTGATCGCCTAATATGGAATACAGTTAAACATCTTTCCTACTATCTTTCTACCTAGAATACAGCAAACTAAACCAATTAAGCAGATTGCGACTAGATATCTCATCCTCAAATTACTGATTACTGCAAAAAGCCAAAGAAAAAATCAAGGAGTATTTAATAAATATAAAGACAAATATTTCATTTCAACTCAATAGATTTAAACATAAATATATAATTAGTAAAAATTTATTTTTTACATTTCCATCCTTGAATATAACATTTTCAACTGGAACTAATAAAAGAGAAGAGGCCCTTTGCGAATTCATTATCAGACTAAATTAGTAGATCCTCTTTTGTAGCAAAAATAATTCAATGGATAAAATTCTTAGAACTATAAGTGGAATATATCTAAGAAAAGTAAAGTGGAAACATTCTCTATATTCTAGAACATGCCGAACAAATGGAGTTTTATAGTTTTTAATCATGAGGTTATGATCTTTACAATAGACCATATATAGTTCGATTAATAGATGTCGTAAAATCTTTACAAATTTTAAAATTGAAAGTAGTCTTTTTAATTAATTATTTTTTACTTTGCTGATCATATAATAAAAATATAAATAGATGATAAATAATTTTGATGTATAGAAACATTGGAAATTTTTAGATATATTTTGACTGGGCAGCTATTTTGGAATTTAAGAAAAAAAGGAGTTTCAAATAATATTTTTATTGAGTAAGGATATGTCATTCCCTTACAAAAATTTTCGTATTAAAAAACAGTAACCTTTAAGAACTTGAATAGCGACTGTCAATCAGGATATTTATTTTTATTATGCTTTATATTAAAATAGATCAAAAATAGATTATTTAAAATATTAAATCATATTGGTTTTAAACCAAAATTTGTTCTAGATTTATTGAGGTGCTTCAAGAATTAATTTAGATAATTTTTAATAAGTGATAATATATATGTAAATTTAGTTATATTCTACTATATAACAAATTTTAAGGGAACGGCTATAGTAAGTTGAAGAAAGCTTTAAAATTTGTTTTTTAAAAGTAACTTCATTATTAACAGAGTCTGAGAAAAAAAACTTAATATATTATGACTAATATAAACATATTTGATAATCATAAAAAACAACCTAGGACTTTCATTGCTATTTATTATATAAAAAAATAAATATAGGTCGCTTGTACAACTAGGATTGGATACAGAAATAAATCAGTTTATTAAGTGATGCTAGAATAGATATTCCATATTTTATATAAGTATAAGGGCTACACTACAAACACGTACTTAATCTAAGTAACTCTTAAGTTACTAAAGACTAGCTCTTATTGTGCATTAGAAATTCATTTAAAATTTAAAGAAATGTCATTTTAGTACCAAATCGATGTTTAAGTGCCGAATTGGTACTGAATATATTGAATAAATTTTCAAATGTGTTGCTAATACATAGCAAAATTAATATTTTTGTAGGTATGCGATTAGTCTCTCTAGTGTTAATTTAATTTTATTTTAAAAATCAATGTTTTTGAAGTTGAAGTTTAATTTAATTTCAAAAAATTATGTTTTCTGATTTTAGTTTTAGATAAATTTAGTATTAAATTAGCTTCTCTGGTATTGGTTAAATTGAATTCAATACATTATGAATAATTTTTACTCTAATTTGCTTATTTGTTAGGTATTTAGTAATTAATAGCATAAAACTAAAAAATACTATTATGACTTTATAATAGGAAGTTGGAATATTGAAGTTATTTATTTAATTATTTTATAATTATTATTAAATTATCTAATGGCGCGGGTGCTATACGTAATTGTGTATCAAAATATATCTAAATTAAGTAAATTACATTTGTATATATGCAGAAAAATAACTTAAATTAATGTATAGCTGAATATTATCATTTGAATAAAATTCATTGAAAGATATTGCATGCAGTTGCCAAATAGAAAAATAATGCACTGTATAAAAAAGTGAATTAATATAAACAATAAGCTGAATACATGTACATAATAATATTTTTATAATTACACAATTAATTATGCAATATACTTAATAGTACTATAATTAAAATTTTAATAGATATTCATTCATTTATTCGCATAATTTAATACTTACTTTTAATCAACGTTGTGCTTAATTGAACGCCATTTGCAATACAGCTTCGTTAACATTAATCTCTAATTATTTGCATAATCGCTTGCACATATGCATTTTACTTTAACAGAACGATTAAAAGTCAAATCAGAAAGCAATGTAAAAATTGGCGCTTATGTTAAATGGCTACTTTACTGCAAACTAATTGGGTTAACATGTAAACAAAAGAACTTACTAACATGTAAAGTTTGTCATTTTCACTTAGCACTTTTAATTAGCAGTTAATGCAAAAACTTGATGTAATTTAACAGATTTAATGCGATTTTTATAAGAATTCATTTATATTTCTATATCCCACTTAAAAATGCATGTGCGTGTGTGCTAATGATTTTATTTATTTTTTTTTTTCTTTTGTTGTCATATATGTATGTTTACTACATCATCACTAATTGAGAGTAAAATTAATTTTATTTAGCACAATAAACTATACTGTGTGCTGCTACTATACTCACTTATTGTAATTAGAAGGAAATAAGCACACACGCCGCTCACCTACGCATAAGTGAATGAGCTTAGCTTGCAACAACAACAACAATAACAACAAAAACAAAAACAAAAACAACATAAATGAGACAAATAGCACATAAATTACAGTAATAAAGTGCGGACTTTTTTGTAGCTTATTATGTTTGCAACTAGCAGAGAATATAATGTCAAATATATGTTACTGTTATACTGTTACTCTTTTATTGTTGTCAATTTAATATTTGACCGCACACTAATTTGCCGCAGTTGAGACGATTGTTTGCTTTTTGTTTTTTGTTTTTATTTTTTAATTTTGAATTTATTACTTAATAATTTTGGCATCAACAAAAGTGTATACTCGTACAATAAAAATTATAACACTTTATCAAGATCATTTACGTGCAAACTGTTGTCAATGATATATTTAACAGCACATATAACAGTTTAATTGTACGTGTACTTGATTTTTTGGTTTTTGTTATTGTTTTTGTTTTTGTTTTTGTGGTGTTTGATGTTAGACTTTCGACGTTAGCACATCATTTTAAATTAAAATTTTAATCAAATATGTTTTTTAGTGCCATATACTTTGTTCAAAAGGAAAAGAAAAAAATTATAATGATTTCAAAATTTCAAAAATTTGCTTGTTTTATTTTAAGTTCTCCTTTACAGTGTGCGATAAGATAACAGCGTCAGACGGAAATATTGCAACTACTCTTTTTATTCAAAAAATATTCAAAAAAGTTAAATGCTGCTTTACTTAACACGGAAAACTAATTTTGTAGTATTTTAGTTAAAGTTCAGAACATACATACATATATATACATACATACATGTGTATATATGTATGTAAATAATATGAACATAATTATTATGTGAATGTAACGTTGTTGAGTTAATGCATGTGCGGATTTTTAAGGCTATGCTATATTATTTAATAGGTATATGGCAGGCAAAATATGCAAATAAGTTATTTTTTTTTTTAATATTTCTAGAGCCCAAAAATATTGCCCTTTAGGAATGATCGTTTTTAGTTGTTTTAATATAATTTCAAGTAATTAACTGTTTAATATTTTTTTTTTATTAATTCAGTATATATAAAATAAAGTAACTGAAAGTTTGGAACAAATTAAAGTGACATTCTCACAAAAACTTATAACAGTTCTTGTGCTTAAAATTGGTACACTTTAAACCGTTCTAAACTTTAGGAGTATGACCTATGTCTTTTCGTTGTCTTTTTAGTTTTTAGTTTTTAGTTTTCTAAAAATTGTACTTTTTTTCCTAGAAGCATGTAGTATTACTTATATTTTTAAACTAATAAAGCTCAAAACTGCAAAACTTCGAAAATTCCTCAATACTTTTGCTCAAAATAACCAAGTTAATTGTTTAACTAATATGAGATCTATGTGCTACCTAAAAAATTTTTTTTTTGAGTGTGCGAAGAGGAAACTAATCCTATTCATATTGGTACTACCTGAATTTAAAGTTCATATATTTTAGTTCTCACATAAAACTGTCAAAATTTCTTACAGAACAAAGCAGCATTTTTTTCCTTTTCAAATTAATCCCTAAACTATAAATGCTTCCCTGCCTTAGTCTGCCTTAGTACCTGTTGTTTCAACACAGGTAGCCAACATCAACTTGTATTTCATTCTTGGCTACAACATTTTTAAACAATCATACACTCAAAAAATCTATACTTGGCAATTATTGCGAGCAAATAAAACAAGAGCAAAGACCAATAAAATCTGTGTAGCATCTTCTTTGGCTCGCCGAGTCTTGAACTTGCTGCATTGTGTGTACATCAAACGACAAAAATTTAAGCCTGTTTAACCAGTTTAACAAAATATATAAAGTTCGAGTTACCAATTTCACTTGGAAACAGCTTACACAGCAAGAAACTCAAATCGCTAAGCGCAAAGTAAGAAGCCAAAATGCTTTGCACATTTATCTGACGTTGACTATGCTGACTACTATGAATCAGCGTACATAATATATATAATATACATACATATGTACACTGTGATGATATAGGGGATAAATGCTGAAAATAGGTGTAATTCAGGTTGCATGCAGCTGCAACAAAAACATTGCATCATTATTATGTATGTAATTGTTGGTGTTGCACTTAGGCAGCGAGATAAAATGCATGCGCAGCCATATTGGTTTTAATTTAAAATATATTGAAAAGTACTGGAGCAGTACTACATAAAATGCAACGCTGCTTTTAAACAAGCAGCAGGAGAGAAAAACATGCAGAGAGTGGGAGCGCAAAGAGCCCTAAAGATTGTAACAAAACTCACTCGTTCTCTTACTCAATCACTCAAAACCGGATACAGCTGCTGCTACTGATAAATTTGCTCACTGGAGTTACGCCAAATATTCAAAATAAAAAGAAGTAAAAATATTCGAAATTTTGCGTAATACCGGGGGGAATACTGCGTAAATGTGTTGGTTGGCTTGTTGTGCACTGCTCAAGTATTGAGTTTAATTAATTTGTTACTGTTTTCATTTCTGTTGAGTTCTATTAGTTTAAAAATATTTACTTCTATATTCATTTTGAACATTTTTTCACTATTTTTTACTATTTTTGTACTACAGCTTCTCTAAAAATGCGTTTAACTAAAAAAATTTTTGTTTTATATAAAAATTCATTCAAAAAACCTTTACTAAACATAATATGATTTTAATTTCATAATACTCTAAAGAAATAACACTTCATCTTAAACTTCCTCTTTCCCCATTTTCATCTATTAACTTTCAACTTAACTTATTTTATATGCATCCCCCCCTAAGCATCAAAACGTTCTTTTTGTCCACTATGTTTAGTACCACCTAACTCACGCGACAAATCTGATATCACTTCTTTATAAATTAATGGATCAATATTTTTACCCAATTGGTAAAGCAAAAACCAATCACCAATATTACACTGATTCGATACCGATTCGACTTCTTCACTTTCTGCCAAGCGTGAACGTGCACGTAATAGCAAATGACGCAATTTTGGACCCATCACGACAGCAACACGGTACACTAAGGAAATTCCGGACAAAATACTTAAAATGATGAACCAGAACCACAGGAACACGTAGATTTTCTCGTTGACAATATTCAATGGCAACACGCAAAGACCATCGAATTTCTGCACCGAGCCAGAAGGACCGTATTTGTGGAAGGTGCATTTTGTTACTTTTGGAAAGACTCTTGCCATGGGATCAATACGTTCATCAGGCTCCATTTCGGTGAATTTCAATACATCGCTACCATATGTAGAGAATTCGCCATCCAAGAAAAAGTCCACGAAGAATATTTGTCCAATAACATTAGCAAAATTCATAGCTTCACAAACGAAAAAACGGAATGCATAAAAATTGTGTCGTTTCAAATTGTCCACAAAGTAATCGACTAATATTTTTTTGCGATCGTTTTTACATTCCTCATTCACAATTGGGCTATTGAGATCCATAACCAACATCTTAAGACGACCACCTTCCCACGATTTCCACAAGTAACGTGGTACATAAAATAGTATGGCTTGGAAGAATAATACAAAGCAAACCCACTGATAGTACTTATGATATTTCACTTCATCCACCCCTTCTCTATGCGGTCCCACACCTGGCTGTGCAACATCGCGTCCAGTGACACCAGTCAAACGTTCTGGCACCGTAAATGTCGAGTAAATCCAGCAATAGGTATCCATAACACCCAAAGGAATTTCATCCACGATACAATCAATTGGATCACCAATATACTGACGAGAAGTGACCAGTAGAGAGAATGCAATCAATATGATTACAGTAGCTTTGTAATGCATGCGAAAGACATTATTATCGATGCAGACCTGATCGATTTTCAGAAGCCCCTTAACGGAGCCGAATACATCAAACATTTTGGCAGTGTTTTCTTATTACTTCTGTTTAAAATGCACTTATTTTTAAAATTATTGAATATTTACAGTTCGGTATTTTGTTTTTCGGAAAGGTACGCTTTACATACGAATTTTGTAAAAAACCATACAAATTATTAAAAAGTAAACGCGCCACTTTTATTTAATTAAATCGATCACTTATTGGACATAGCGTGCTTAATTTCTTAAAGCACTATTTTGTTTAAAAGTTAATAATTTCAGATAATTAATTATAATATTTTAAAAAACTATAAGCATTTATAAACAAACACTCGCGCCGAATCGATCTATTTTGCTGTTTGTCACAGTCAAGCCGTCTTAAATGACTCCACTTTCAAATCAAGACGCTTTGGCACCGCAGCACAAAGCGCACTCTTCGAACAAAAAATTAAAACTGTTTTAGCTGATTTCGGTTCGCGTTTGCTTTGGAAAATCACTTTGCCAATTCGAGCACATTCAGGAGCGATTTTGAGTGAGTCTCTACTCACAAATACTAATACCTTTGGGTCGTTGCCATTGTAGTGGTGAGAGCATGCATGCTCTTGTTTTTAGTTTTTGCTCAATATTTATTGGACTAATGGGCGCACATTTCTATAGTTGATTTGAGTCTGTTATCCAAAACTGTGGGGTGGATCTTCTTTTGTTATCTGATTATTGTACTCACCTTTTGCTCTCTATTTGAGATAAACTGGGGTGAAAGATTTTGTCTTTAACTCAATTTTATACCAGATTATTAGAGTTGAAACATGGAGTTTTAGTAAAGTTAATGTGTACTCCATTTTCAAGTGGGGAATATGGCCTATTTAATATGAACTCCATTCGGTAAATGGGTTGCCAGAAAATGATAAAAGAAAATATAAAATCATGATGCCACATAAATCGAAAATTATGTGTGTCTTACAACTTATATTTTACAAATTATAGTAAGTAGTAAATTATAGTAATAAAAAATTATATTTTACAATGATAATAGTAAGATACATTGTAAATAAAATATAGAATTAAAGTAGAAGTTCGCCTTAAAACTGATTATCCTTGAAAATCTTACAGGGGGACATGTATTATAGTATTTATTTAATAATTAGTAGTGAAAATAATATTAGTTTCTCTATAAACAAAATTTAATTAAAAATGAAATAATTTTTTCAAATTTATGTAGACGCATCTACGCAAAGTGATTAAATAAAAGCTCTATCGAAATCTAAAAATAGACCAACTAAAAATTTCTATTTGTTATTAAAGCTTATATATACGATATAATAATCGTTTTCAAGTTTGAAGTTTTTGAAATAAGTACAAAAATTTACCAGATAAGAAGTGGTTTCTCATAACAGTTCCAATGGAAGATTTGAACGTAGTTCTTGAATGGCTCTAGATATTAAATATTTCTATAAGAATAACTTACTTACCATTAGTTATGATAACTATGTGATTAATTTAGGTTAGTTCTAAAAATATTCAACATACATTTACAATAAGTTATGATAGCAGTGTGATAAATTTCGGTTATTTTTAAAAATATTCAAGATACATTTACAACTGCATTATTTTATCTCTCTTTTACTAAACAATTTAGTCAGAAAAAGCAAAAATAATATAGGATTAGTAATTTCTTTTATTGTTGTTGCCATAAAGAAAGTAAATATAATTCTTTTAATTTTTTTTCCTCTTAATCTTTTCTACTGAAATAGAATTTATCTAATCATTGCGCTTATTAATGATATGATACTTATATTATAATAAAACAATTGCAAAAGAAAGCATTCGTATATATATTAAAATTAATATTGTAAATTATTTAAAAATCTACTGATTAATAATATCAAAAAATAAAAAAAAAATTAAATTGCATTAGAAAAAAAGTTTATTTGTGTATCTACAATTTATTTTAATTACACATTTAAAAAAAAATAAAATTTTTTGAGATTGCTAATCATTGACTTATCTCTGATACTTACTTATGCTTTTTTTCCAAATTTTACGCAAATAACATTTTTTCATAGAGTGTGTGATTTGACTGGTTAGATCTATATTTGAAGGTAATGCTTCTTAGATATCTTTCTGGGGAATTTACGTGTTTTTTCGTTGGCGTGTGAATGATTAAACGATTATAGTCCAAATTCGAAAGAAAATTACAATTTGAATAGGTTTGATTTCTTTAATCTGGGTTGCCATAAGCTTCATAGTAGGTGATATGTAATTTATGAAGGCACTAAAAATCAACCACATTATAGTTTGGAGTTAAGAGCAGTCTACGCAACGACGCTACATGTTTGGGTGCCATATGAATTATCGCAATGATATTTGATTCATCAAATTACCGTCAGTGAAATGTTGCTGAAACACAACGAAATTGAACCATTTTCACCCATTTTAAAGTGAATTGATCCGGATGATGAAAAACGGATTAAGTACAAGACTATCCAACGTAAGTGATCTGGGCAAAAGTTGGCAACACTCCACAAATTTGACTGCAAATAAAGTTATGTTAAATGTTTGGTGGGACTGGAAACAAATTGTCTATTGCTAGTTACTCCAGTCTAGTGCAATGGTTAATTCGGTGTTCTACTGCTCACAACTCAACGGCTTAAGCGAAATAATAAATAAAAATTGATCAGAATTGACCAATAGAAAATGATTTGTGTTAAAACTAAATTAATGAAACTCAGTTGGAAAGTATTGATTCATCCATCGTATAGTTTTGACCTTTCACTATTAAAATTCCATTTGTTTCAGTCTTTGTAAAACTCTCTTAATGCTAAAAAATTGATTGACCGAAGAGCCACTTAATCATTTGACAAATGCAGTTTTTCATCGATAAACTATAGAAGTTCTTTACTGAAGAAATTTGAAAGCACCTGAATAATGGCAAGAGGTCATGGTATAATAATAGCTAATATAAATTTTACTAAAATTAATTTCAAATGAATTAAATTTGTATTTCAAAATGCACCAAAAAATTGGCGGATACTTGTATAGTATATCACCCAATATATACCTAATATATACCTATTCGTTCATAGTGGTATCAGAAGGAGTGAATGGTTACAGCATAGATGGGAGTTGGTCGAGTAAAAAGGTTGGAAATTAAAAAAAAATATATGATCTATTAAAGACTTATCCTATTGTATGAGAGATGTTTAACTATCATTAGGCATAACCAAGACATGTAAAAAAATGGAAATTTTGATTACCTTACTGAAAGCCGGGATCGATGATTAGAGATACTGTTTTGCTGGAGTTCTATAGGAAATCGGTTGCTTATTCCTTCATTGTAAATTTAAAATATAATGAAATAGAAATAGTAATTAAAAAAATAATAGTTGCCCGTAGATGATTTTATTTTGATAACTCCTGGTAATAATCTTTTTTCCTACCACGATTTCCCCCATTTGTTTCTTTGTTTAAATTCAGTCCAAATTATCTGGGTTTTCTTTTACATATTTTGTGGATAGTAAGTTCTTATAACTAACTATGAGAAGAAAAATTTCAGTAGCCAAACTTTATAGAAAAGAGTAAAAAATACTTTTGGTATTAATTTGGTATTCTCCAACACACAAAGCATGATCAATATCCATTAACTTTCAACTTGTAATTGCATTTCTTGTTTTTATTCCACTATTTTCTTTATTTCAATTCAAATTATCTGATATTCCTCTTTAATATTCTTGGAAGTAATAAACTTACATCGAAAAGCATAATTTCAGTAGCTCTAACCTTATGAAGAATTAAGATAGTTGAGAGTTCATTAATAATTCCGAGTACGACTCCGAGTACGACTACATCTCAGACTCTTAAACTGATTCGCCTGAAAGCGACAACGACCTATTATTCAAATGTACCCATTTTAAATTACTTGTCTCTTTGCCTTCCCACTGAGGCAATAAATTTATTAAAAGTTTGACCAAAACCGAGAACAACGAAAAATAAAATAAATAATGACACAACATAAAAGACAGATAATAATATTATTTATATAATTTTATGATACTTTCTTTTTGTTTCGCTGCTTTTGGTCTTATTTGGTCTTATTTCTTTATTTCGTTCTTTTCTTTCTCCTCATTGTACGTGACAACCCGAAAATCGAGAAGTGGTTTTACCTGTTCTTCTACGGATTCGATCGCAAGTTTGTTTACAATTACAAAACTGATATCATACGCTGGTTCTGCCGCATGATATATGCGTGATATTTACGGTGGTAAATACCTGAAAGGTTGAACCCTAATGGCAGACTACGGTTAAGTATTTTGAAATTATTTTACAATTTCCGAGGAGATTAGCTTAGAATTTTAAGTGTTGTGGTTTTGTGTAGTGAGTGAATCGGTCTGGCCAACACACAATATACCCGAATAGCTCTAAATTCGTGTTATAAATGCAGTTCTTTTAATTTGTTATCATTCCTAAAGGAAAGTTAGTTACTTAGGGATTTCCTACCTTCCTCATTTTTAAGCAATCAGTTTATTTCATTGTTCCGTCTATTCGATTTTCCAAAGATAAATAACCCATTTATTCTCGTAAGTTGAACACAAATGCATTTTTCACGTTCATAATTGAGAAATTTTTGGGTAGAAAATTCGTTTTTTTTTGGTTTTCAGTATTTTTATCAGATACAATCATTTTACCTGTCTTATTATAATTATTTATTTTTATTTATTTATTTTTTTTTTTGAACAATTTATAACGTCATAAATATGTTGAGTTGAAGTGTTAAAATTAAAACTTATCTCCTTGCGAATGTCATGGTTTTGTCTTTCTCTAATATCCAACAAAGTGAATGAATTTCAGACTAATAAAATTTTATTATCACCATAAATACAAGTAGTATTTAGGTATTTACGTATATCTGTAAAATTAAGATTGTCTAAATGTGAAATGTATTCAGTTGTGTGAGAACTACTTGCAAATTGTTTAGTAATTAGGCAGTCGTCAAAACTATTTTACCATCAACACGATTTTTAACTTCACTTTTAATTAAATTTTTAAAGAAATTGTCTAATCACGGCGCAGTGCCGCCTTGGTGCGACCACAGATTTTGATTAGACCCATTTGCGCATTACTCATTTGGCTTACTTGTCATTGGCGTGTTTTGTTTTAAGGCCCATTGCCATGTGTGTTGATCAAAAAATTCCGAAAATATTCTTACTGTACTAATTTATAAATAAATTGTGGTTTTTTAAAGCCATTGCGTGATATCCGCCACAAGCAAAAAATATTGCTCTACGATGGGCTTGGCATATTTGGTGAGCATACATATTTCGGTTTCTAATATTTTAACTTTTGTTATCAGAGTGATTGTTTGGGTTATGACAAGCACTTTATGAAGCACGTGATTAGTAAGTTGTTGCGATCTTGAAGAGATAATCATTTGAGGTGTAGATCTTTTAATAACATCAGATTATATAAAACAGTTTTTCTTATTATTTTTTTAGTAAGAGGTTTA